ATCATAACGTCATAACCAGTCAGGTATTAGATCATAACGTCATAACCAGTCGGGTATTAGATCATAACGTCATAACCAGTAAGGTATTAGATCATAACGTCATAACCAGTCAGGTATTAGATTACAACGTCATAACCAGTCAGGTATTAGATCATAACGTCATAACCAGTCAGGTATTAGATCATAACGTCATAACCAGTAAGGTATTAGATCATAACGTCATAACCAGTCAGGTATTAAATCATAACGTCATAACCAGTCAGGTATTAGATCATAACGTCATAACCAGTCGCGAATTAGATCATAACGTCATAACCAGCCAGGTATTAGATTATAACGTCATAACCAGTAAGGTATTAGATTATAACGTCATAACCAGTAAGGTATTATATCATAACGTCATAACCAGTCAGGTATTAGATCATAACGTCATAACCAGTCGCGTATTAGATCATAACGTCATAACCAGTCAGGTATTAGATCATAACGTCATAACCAGTCAGGTATTATATTATAACGTCATAACCAGTAAGGTATTAGATCATAACGTCATAACCAGTAAGGTATTAGATCATAACGTCATAAGCAGTCAGGTATTAGATCATAACGTCATAACCAGTCAGGTATTATATCATAACGTCATAACCAGTCAGGTATTAGATCATAACGTCATAACCAGACAGGTTCAGATCATAACGTCATAACCAGTCAGGTATTTGATCGTTACGTCATAACCAGTCAGGTATTTGATCGTTACGTCATAACCAGTCAGGTATTTACCAGTCAGGAAGTTGATTGTAACGTCGTAACCAGTCAGGTATTTGATCGTTACGTCATAACCAATCAGGTATTTACCAGTCAGGTATATGATTGTAAATATTTTTTCTGTGTACGACGACACGATCTACGACTAGTTTGAAGAATCGTTTTGACCGAGAAGCAATTCTGGTAAGAATTGGTTTCGAACCTTAAACTGCCTTTGGTTACCTTTCGCTACTAAGTACTCGCTACAAAGTACGTACGTGCTTTGTCGACGTTTATTTCAAATTGGTGTGCGTCCGTGGAATTGGAATTTTGGTTTCACTATCTATTGGGCTACAGCTCAGTGGCATATGCCTCTACAATCTATCGACCCACGCTCTTAATATCCAACATGTCTTACGGCCGAGTTGCACAGCCCTACCTCTTCCATTGGCCAATCAACCTTGTTTACCAGGTCATTGGTCGATTGTTCTTCTATGCAAGAGGTGACATGTAACACACGTACACAGTTGAGGCGAAGCATGTTCTTTACGTCGAAAACACTGCCTGATGACAATTAGGTGTTAGGTTTGGGTAGCCAATCATATACAATAGCTTGTATTGGCTCCACGTACGTTTTGAGAACATACAGCTCTGAAGTTCGTACTTTAAAGCGAGGCAGCCGTCGCGCTGCGCATGTGCGCCATTTGTGTTGATAAACATTGATTTTCCCACAATTCAATGCGCTCTTCTAATTGA